GAAGAGAGGCCGAAGAGAATCATCGCCGATCTTGCCAGCTTTCGCTGACGACAAACCATGTTAGATATATTTCGTGGATTGAAAAACCTTGTAAAGGTCAGTCACGTTAAAACCGATTCGATAGTATTCCGCCTGCACTACTCAATAACTGTGATGATTCTGATGTCATTCTCGCTAATTATAACCACACGCCAGTACGTGGGCAATCCGATCGATTGTGTGCACACCAAAGATATTCCAGAGGATGTGCTGAACACGTACTGCTGGATCCAGTCCACCTACACGCTCAAGAGCCTCTTCCTCAAGAAGCAGGGCGTGTCGGTACCCTATCCGGGCATCGGCAACTCCGACGGCGATCCGGCGGACAAGAAGCACTACAAGTACTACCAGTGGGTCTGCTTCTGCCTCTTCTTTCAGGTATACTAAGGTTGTGTCTGAGGACTGTATGAATCATTTGCAATTTATTTAGCCTGACTATCGATAATCCTATCCTAAAGATAGCCAAATCGGTAACAAACGGTTTTAACTAATACAAAAGTAGAAATTCGATAACAATTCGGTAACAAAGATATCTCAACAACCCCTCATTCAAATGATAAACTAGCTAAACGATTAGAGGACATCAATCTCATCTTTCCTATTTAATGGCCAACAAATTAAAAATCGATGCCATAACTCAGACCCTCAAGGGGCTACGCCTGCGCAGCGAATAATCCCGAAAAAGACGACCCAGAAATCGGCCATAGATCAGTTGATCGTTATGTTTGGGGGCGTTGAATGATTTGATGGATTAAGTAATTAAGCGATTTCTCGCCGACTGAGCGTCCCATTGAGATACATCGCTCGCTATACATACTTTTCAATTTCCAAATATTTGTTCCATTTCTTTTCTTTTTTTTTTGGTTTTTTGTTTTGCGGTTTTGGCCTTTTGTGAGCCAAATGAAAATGTTTAAGTATTTCGTGTGTGCTCCGTTTTGTTATTGTTGCTGCTGATTGGACTGGCCTTGTATCGCTCTGCGAGTATCTCAAAGATAGTTCGAGCTGTGACGTAGGCGATGCCCAACAGAGAGACGGGGCTGCTGGGCGGGAGAGAGCGGGCGCTAGAGACAGCTAGTGATTGATCGGCAATCGATGGGATCAAAAAGTGAGCTGGGGCGCTAAGAACAAATTTCAGTTCGGTGGGAAAGCACAGAAAGTGGAGGGAATATATGCAGGGACTGGAAAATAGTTTTTCATCTTATTTTTAAATGGGATTTGGATTTATTTCTATAAGCTATCAGAGGAATTTTAGTTAATACTGGCTATAAAGGTGATATATATGTTATATGAACTATAAAAAGTTATCAACATCAACCTTATTCTTACAGAATTCCACATATTATCTTAGATAAATAGTTATCTGATGGAATATGAAAGCTTTTTTATGCGATATAGGGACTAAGCTTGACTTAGTACCTTATGCCTGGCAAAAACCTAAACGAACTGTGTACCTTAGATTAATTCGTATCGTTTTCAAGTGAATTTACCCTTCGACAACGTTCTTCCCCTATAATCTAGATTTATAATTTCTTTGCTGGGCTCATCTATAGTTTCCCCTCGAGCTACCCACTCTCCCCGCCTCATTCTCCGCCACCTGATCTATCCCCAAACTGTCATCGCTAATTGCTGGCACCGCTTAAAGGAGATTGATTGTGTCATGGATGCCATTTCGCCCCCCTCGACTAGCACACCCCTGGCCAAATCGGTGACGTCGCCGCCCATATGGCGTACATAGGTATACGAGTATATATAGATCGAGTCGCATATAAATATAGAGAGACGTTTGCTGGTTGGTGCGACGATTACACAATATATCTTCCCGCTAACAATGTACAAATATTAAATGTATATTTTTATCACACTCTTTGGGGGCGGGGCGAGCGGAGGGGCCTTTCTCGGTTAGTGTCACAGAGCGATTATAGAGACGTTCTAGTCACCCAAATTCCTATAAATACATTTATCATGGTATTCTCCCTGCTTAATGACGCGTAGACGCGTTTCTATAATTTACACTTTCCCCCAATTTTCGTTGCACGATTTATTAATAACAGAAAACAAAACGAGAAACAAAAAATAATGCCGGCAATCGTGGATCATTGATTTCCGAGAGCGTGGCGTGATGGGCGGGCGACGGTGCGGGGTATTTACTGCCTCACGGACAAAACTAACGAATATCCTATCCGGCTAGTCGAGGTCACCCGGTTTTCGTGAGGTGGAAAATACATTCTCTTCGAACTGGTCAACAGCACCTGGCCCAATTATCATAAATTCTCGGTTATTATGGATCAACTGTAGAGATCTAATGGATGGATCAGTCATTAACTTGGACAATGCAGCCATAAAAATTAAAAGACCTGCAGCCATCAATTTCCATTCAATCGATCCGGTCTCTCCCTCTGATATGTCAAAAATTGGCATTTCTTCTTCTACGCCACTATGCCGCCTCCGGCCCCGACTTTCCCGCTTTTCCACCCATATTTCTGTGCCCGGCATGTCTAGATATTTATTGAAAAGGCGCAGACAAACATAAAAGTGAAATAATATTTCTGGCCAGATGCCAGGGAATTGCTGAAACAAAAAGCCATGGATATGCCAGTGGGACTAGGCAAAGGGAATCGGGAATCGAGAATTGGGATCTGGGAGACGGTTACTGAGAGCTGGGAACATGGCAGCATAGGGAACATGGCCAAAGGTTCTTGGGGAGGGAACTGTTTATATTTGACTTATGCGCGTGTATTTTTGGCCTCCCCTTCGGTTTTTAGAAAAATCTAAGGAAGGGGCCGTCGCCTGGGGGAGTGACAGATCGGATCAGATGGGATCAGCCACTTCCTAGGTGATTCCTTCCCTGCACAGTGGGTGCATCCTTGGGAAATATCTATCTCTAGATTGAGATTTAGCATTAGGCTTTATTTATCCTTGTTTCAGTAACTAACTAGGAACTTGCCACATCTTCGTTATCTAAAAACATTCGATATGAAATAGAGATTTCGTCACTGGATATCTTTTCAGCCCTTCCAAAAATCCATATTGTATGTTATTATCTGCCGACAACCTTAAGAAACTGTGTTCTTTGCCTCATAAAATCCCAGATATTCTACCACTGTGCCTGGAGTCTGCAGACCGAGGGAAGAATTCTTCGGAGACGTCTCTTTTGCCCTCTGCCTTTCGCTTTGATTGTTGCTTCTGGTGCAGTTGCATTTACACGATGCTTTTGCAATTTGAACGCTTGCCAAATTGCTTTCCACACACGCACAGAGGGGAAGCGGAAAACCGGGAAAGCGGGTGGAAATTGGGGAGAGGCCACCCTTCTTTTCTCTTCCTCATTTGGCCTGTCGTCGGGGAAATGCAATCGGCGATTGTATACACAAAAGGGCATGCTGAGATGATGGAGGCCAAAGCAAATCAAACGCATCATTTGACTTCCGGCAGGGCGTGGCAACAGACCTCTCCCTAATAGCAACAGTTCCGCTCAGAATACTAGCAGCTAATCACACAAAATTCTTTACAGAAATGAATTTGTATACTGTTAGGGAAAGGGTACTTTCTCTCTCAGGTTTCGCAAAGAAAAGCATAAGCTTTCATTTTGCTAATAAGTTGCCCCTATACGACTAACCGCATCTGTGCACAGCGATTGCCGTCATGAGCGGATAGAATGCGCTGCAGATGTTTCTTGGGCCAATTACAACCAAATGCCAACGACAATGGCGAATAGTTTGGAGCTGCAGGCCCCGGAGGCCAGAAAGTGAAAAGCCAAAGAGAATGGAAAGATCGCATAAATGCAAATCTGGGAGGCACGATCGTCAGCGCGTGTGGTGAAATATTCGAGAGTGGAAATTCGCTGGCCAAGATTGACGGACAGCCGCCAGTCGGGCGCCCACTAAACAAACTGAACTCTCACCTCAAAAGACGCAAGACATGGGGATTACCACCTGCCAGGGACTCAGACTCAAGAATCAAGATCACGATGATGGGGCGACATTGTCATGTGCCAAAGCAAACACACCGTACACAATTTGCACAACTCGCCCAATCCCCAGCTGTCTGAAGATGGCCGAATCCCCGGCTAATTTACGATACAAGTTATTATTAATTTGTCATCGGGTCGGGCATTAAAATCCCCCGACAAAAGAAAATACAGACGGACTTATAACGAGCAGGAATGCTGGGGACGGCATTGATACCCTGTACTCTTGGGTTTTTTAAAAGTTTGTTCATTTGGCTTTCAGTGGTATTGTGGAAATTGGTGGGTTAAACTATTCTTGGAAAGAGTTTGTAGTGGGAAATCGGGGATATTATCTGTGATTTCAGTTTTTGCACGAAGGCCACGATTTAAATGATTATAGAAACTAAAGTTTGCAAAAAACATAGAAAAGTATCGTAGAGTATGCAGATGGATGATCAGACCTCCGAACTCGAAATATAACATTTGCATACTTATTGACAATTCAGAAGTCATTTAGGCTATATCGTTTCTTCCGTACATTCAATATACCCTCCTGGCTAACCAATTAATGGGTACAATTAAGCAAGAATTCGTGTCTGCCTGTCTGTCTTTCGGATCGGCCGATATTGTGCTAGGTAAACCCGGCGGTTAGACTGCCCCTAATGGCTCATGGCTAATTGACAAGGGCCGAGACGAAGAAATGGAATGGAATGGATTGGAATTAGCAAAGACAATTATGTCGCTGGGGGAAGGTCAGTCACTAATGCCTATGGCTATGCGGTCCATATGCTATATGGCATTGTTCTCGGCTGGAATCGGGGGTCGGTCCACGATCCACAATCTACAATCTAACAAACAGCTGGCGAATGTCACTTGTCAGGGGTATTTTTCTCGCTTCTCGCTTTTACGACAGTTCCAATGCGACATCACGCCCACACGGAACTCACCTTTGCAGATCTCTATAAATACATATACTATATACCCGCCTTTCTCCGCTCTCTACTCTTGCTTTTTGCAGGCAATCTTATTTTATACACCAAGATGGCTGTGGAAATCTTGGGAGGGTGGCAAGATTCATGCGCTCATCATGGACTTAGACATAGGCATTTGTTCCGAAGCCGAGAAAAAACAAAAAAAGAAATTACTTTTAGATTATTTGTGGGAAAATTTAAGGTAAGTACGCCCTAAATATCGATCACAAGCTCTGCAAATGGCCAACATCTTAGAAAGATTCCACTTTTGCCACCTCAACGTAAACGATTAAATTTGTAAAAGAAAACATATTTTGGATCTTTAAATTTGCAATATAAAAACACAGCTCTTCGAGTGAACTTAAGGTTTCGAAAATCTCAAGAAATCCCAGAAATTGTTTACCTATTTTTAAGGTAAACTTAGTTACCAGTAAGCTGTCGAGTTCATAGGAATGAACCCATTTATTAAGTCGATCTTTGACTATTTATTTATTTGGCACAATGCACCTGAACTCACCTTTGTAGACAATTCCCGAAATAAACATTTCCGAGCATTAGTCCCAGTAATTGACGAAGAATTCTCCGGAAATCGCCAGTGAGTCACGAGTCAGAGTTCTCCAGAGACAAAGGAAACTCGAGAAACGTTTGGCATTTGTAAAGCTTGCGAATATATATATTTATTTAGATCTGAATCACAGCTAATTGCCATATTTCCACCGATTTTATTTGCAGATATCACAATTGGTGGGCGTACAGATATTACGTGTGTGAGCTGCTCGCCCTTATAAATGTGATAGGTGAGTAGTAGTGCACGGAAAGAAATACGTATTAATATCCATCCGATGTGTCTTGAGATCATTATATATAATACTCTAATGATCCCAGTTCGTATCACTTAACGCTGCAAGCATATTGGTTTGATCTTGGCCCATCTTTGTCCTTGAGCCCAAAAGATCAAATTGGTATGGAAAACGGAAGAAAGCTATAGTCGAGCGTCTTGGCAGGGAGTTTTTATCCAGTACTCATGTTTAGGAAATACCTGAAGTTAAGCTATGTAAATCTGAAAATTAAGTTTTACCAGTAAAATGAGACCATCTTCTTGTATGTAGATTATTAAATGAGATCACAACCCAGTTTTTTACGGTGTACATGCCAATCTTTCGACTTCTCCAGGTGCCAGTGAGATCGGTAAACAAAGTTTCGGGGTTAACAAAACGGCTTCTTGGGACGGGGGCAACATAAATTCGGCATTCATTAACATTCCCCGTTCGATTTTACGCCGAAAAATCAATGACGAATTTTTATCGACTGACCGCCCCGCATCAAAATAAACAAAAACTCGCCGAGATCTCTGGTCCCCTCGTGGGGCGTGCGCGCTGAAATCCGAAATCTGACAAAATAATGAACTGTCAGAAAACATGGGAAATAAACAATAATAATGCGAGTAATACACGTTTATAAAATGGCTGACATCGCATCGTTCGGAAAGTGCGAGGGGCGATCCGTGGGGAGAGGCGTTCCTAATTGGCCAGAAATTTGAAATGGGTCAATTAGCCAGCAGGGAAAAGTGGAAATTTAAATGGAAATGGAAATCGCGGGGGCCATTTTCCTTGACTGAAAGGTGAGGCGCCACGAAAATGCATTTAATGCTAGATCTGGGATCTATACAGTCGTTTAATTTGAATATTTTCCTGACTGGAATCGTGACGTAGACGTTTCCAAGGAATGTATTTAGTAATATCTGATCGTAGAATCACGTGGCTTACAGAGTTCATGTCTCATTTTACTGGTAACAAAAATTCGACTTAAGACTTAAGCTAATCATATATACAACTTCCCAAATTGAGTACTGTCGGAGACCTCGACTATAGCCTTCTTGCCTGGATAATGTACATTCGGTCGGGATGTAGAAATATGTGTCAGTGGAATCAGGCTTTTACCTCTGATATGAGAAATCCCATCTATCCAGCCTCACTCAGTCATTTGCCAGCCAAGTCATTTCTGAAACTCATTAAGAGCCATCCAGCAGAAGCGTGTTCGTTTCGTAGTAGCTTTGCCTTTGAGCATCCATTGGTTATTTATTCAAAAGTTTATTATGCAAGTAATTATGCCAACAATACTTGTGCAGAAAGTGCTCGTTAAAAATTGTATAGTGCCCCTGTGGCAGCATAAATCCAATGGTTATTCCTTTATTGTTCTCCCAATAAAACCAATGAAATGCGCCTCGGCCTGCCATAAAAATGAACGTTCCCTGGGGGCATTTGTTTGTTCATTGACCTCCATCTCCATTCCAATTAGCCGCAATTAGCGCGGCCAATTGATGGATTTCGATTTCGATTTCGATTCCCAATGCGAGTCAGAATCTGAATCCGAATCCGAATCCGATCTATCTGCCATAATTAATGGCCCGCACGGGTGTGGGCAAGTTGCAGTTGAGAAGTAAATCGATTCGTTCCCGCCTCGTTGGCCTTAAATCGATCGATCAGGCGTATCCGATCGCATCGGATCGGGAAAAGTCCGTACCGCATCGTAACGCCGAATTTTCCAAAGAGCACCTATGCACCCATGCACAAAAAAAGAGAGGGGAAAATCGGTGGCGGTGGCAAGAACCCCATCAATCCCGCGGTCCGATAAACAGATAGCCAGTATAGATAAATAGATAGATAGATAGAAAGATAGATAAACCGAACGAACGAAAAGTGTATCTCTGTATCATCTTGGTGCTGATTTGTATCTTTTTTGTGGTTCCTTTGCAGGTCAAATGTTTCTTATGAATCGATTTTTCGATGGCGAATTTATGACATTTGGCCTGGAAGTGATAGATTATATGGAGACCGATCAGGAAGATCGCATGGATCCGATGATTTACATATTTCCCAGAATGACCAAATGTACATTTTTTAAATATGGTTCAAGTGGGGAGGTGAGTAACGAATGCAGCTCTCTAACACCCAAGACTCGATTAATAATTGAATCTGTTTTTCTAGGTGGAGAAACACGACGCCATTTGCATTTTACCATTAAACGTTGTTAATGAGAAGATTTACATTTTCCTTTGGTTTTGGTTTATATTATTAACGTTTCTCACATTATTAACGCTAATATACAGGGTGGTTATTATATTCTCTCCTCGCATGAGGGTCTACTTATTTCGTATGCGATTTAGGTGAGTTATAGTAGGATAGTAGGCGATGATATGGGGATAATATGTATAAAGGAAACTTCATTTTATGTCAATATGACAGAGAGACCGGCTCTCGGCTTCTTTATTCGCCTCTAAACGCGCTCAAAAGTATGCTGTAATTTATTGAGATAATAATAATCTCCCTTGCTGTCTACTTTTTGACGCTCTTGATGTTATCTTTGTTATCTCAGTAACATTTATCCCCCTATCAAGTCTTGTAATACCCACTTCTATATAAATCTATATATCGTTTTACTCAACAACATTTTGTCCACTTACAGGTTAGTGCGTCGTGACGCTATTGAAATAATCGTTCGTCGTTCGAAGATGGGCGATTGGTTTTTGTTGTATTTACTAGGTGAAAACATAGATACAGTTATATTTCGTGATGTTGTACAGGACTTAGCGAATCGTTTAGGACATAACCAACACCACAGGGTGCCTGGCTTAAAAGGTGAAATACAGGATGCATGATATTGGGAGTATTAGAAACAATACAAAATGCAATTTGTCGTCTCCATTTGAAAACCATCGAAATCAACAACAACAACAACAACAACAACTTAACAAATGTCAACAACAAAAACAAGACTAAGAAAAGGAAACTACAACCACAAAGGAATCTAGAGATCTTCGCAGCAGCCGCTTCATAACAAAAAACTCAACACACACACACCCCCACACACACACACCGCTAAAAAATCTTTAAAAAAAAAACGTATCTCAAAAATACAACCAAAAAAACTATCGTCAGCTCGCAGTCAGTCATTAATCAGCATTTTCAACCATGGAGACCATGATCGATAGCCGGCTAAGTCTATCGATAGTCGATACAAGCACATCCAAGAACCACAGGGCATAGAAATACGAAAAACACACACAAAATGGAAGCGGATTGAAAGCAGGGAGAATAATGGACAAAATAGGAAAACATCAACAGCCACGCAACGAAAGGAATTAAGTCTTAAATTCAGTGTCAATCAAGTAACGTAACGTAAAGAATAACGTAATGAGTAAACGGATAATGGATAATCGAGAGATGAAGACCGGAAGACCTGGCGCTTCCGGACAGGATTCCCAGGCCGGTGGCACGTAGCGCCTGCCGTCGGCCAGGGGTCACAAGGTCACAAGTCACAAGGGATCGCCTGGGAAATCAGCGATCAGCGACCCATAGAAAAGTTGCCCCAAGGACAAGGTCAAAGTGTGAGGAGAAAACAACATCAATGGACAGCACCGGAAACGGAAACGGAAACGGAAACGGAGACAACAGACAGACACACACACAAGCACACGCACATACATACTTATGACGCCACATACACACATACAAACACGCTTACAGCGACATCACTCATACGCCCCGTAGAACACACCGCACTTTGCTTGTCATGCAGCGTTAACTAAACCAAACATCAACAAAGTCGAGACGACGCCCGCGGAAAATTGCATTTCTGTATTAACCCAATAAAAAAAAAGAGAAGAAAGAGGAAGAAGAAGATCGAAAATCAGCATCACTTTCACCGAGGAAAAGCAGGAGTACCACATAAACGAGGAGATGCTACAACAAAGATCAACAACAACAACAACAGCAACACAAAAGTTTGGAGGCGGGAAGGCATCCCCGAAGGCAGCCTCCAGGAAAGCAGCAAATGAAAGTCAAGAAAATCGCAAGTGGAAATCGCAGAGAAGAGTAACAGTTTAATTAAATTAAATTCAATTCAATTAAATTACTTATTACAATGAAATCTTGAAGTGTTCATGTATTCGAATGTAGGTTAACTAAGTCAAGCATACAAATAATTCTACATATATGTATAATATATATATTATATATATATATAAACAATTTTTTTTTCTAACTCTAAGCATTTGTATTACCCGCTAAACAAATGAACAACAAAACAAAACGAAACAAAACAAAATGAAAGAAAGAAAAAACAAAGAAAAACAAACCAAAAAAAAGCAAACTGAAAACAGAATTTTTTGTATACAGAAATGAAAGAAAATCGAAAACCGAAATGAGCAGATAGAGAAATAATGATAATGAAAAATGAAAAGAAAAACCCAAAAACCGAGACGAAACGAACAGAAAATATCAATAAATATCAAAGAAAGTTCAGAAAATACCATACCGAATACCGAAAACCGAAACAAAAGATACATTTACATAGTTTAATTAGAAGAAACTATAGCGCGCATCATTATATAACCGAAAAACTGAAAAACTGAAAAACTGAAATACTGAAAAACTGAACAACCGACCGAACAGAACTCCACTCACCCAACTCACACGGACAAACGGGGACAGACGGAAACGGAAATGTTTTAAGCCCATACACTCACATCCACACCACACACACACACACACACACACATATATAGCATGTAAAGCATATATATATATATATATAAAATTATCGATCGATCATTCAGCAAACGAGAGCAGCCAACATTCGCAGCATAAATCAATTAACTCCACTAATAATAGAGCATACTCAACTCTCTCTCTACGAAAATACGCCTAGTACTCAAGCGGAAAATGGGAAAATTCGCCAGGAAAAACGGGCGGAACACTCACGCTTTGCCACATGAATCAAGTGTAAGCATAACGATAATAATTAAATAACACCGCTAGCGAATAAAGTCCCGAAGATGCGGGTTCAGTTCAGTTCAGTTCAGGAGTTCGACAATTCCCCCGAGGCATTGCAGTTGGCCCTACAGTGAGACCTTCGTATGACAGACACGGCCCCCCTCCGACGGTTAGTCACCCATCCACGAGTTCATCATGTGCTACAAATCGTAATATCCGTCCAGAAAACCTTTTGAAGCGCACCTCTAACTTTCCATTTCCGTTGAGATGGGATCTTTCTCCTGATTCCGATCTCTCGCTCTCTCTCTCTCTCTCTATCTATCTTTTTGGGTCCTGATCCTTGATCTGAGATCCTTCTGAATTCCTAATTCCGATTACCGTAAACCCCAATAAATGGACCAATGAACAAGTCACACAGATGCCTCAAAAGTTTTTCCCCTTCCCGTCGCATTTTCCCATCTCTCAAAGGACGACCAAACACAAAAGAGAAAACAGCCAGAAAAAGCCAAGCCAGAGATGCAAATCTAACAACAAATATCACTGCCAACAAACCACTTAAAGTAAAGTCAAAATAAAATAGTTAAATACGAAAACTAAGCGGTAGAGGGCGGCCAGCAGAGTAGGAGGGTTTTTGCGTAGGGTTAACCCTGCAATGCCTGCCATATTAAGAAAAGAAAAAAAGCGAAAGGAATTAGCCCCAGAAAAGTGTTCCTCGTCTCAGAATCAGGAATTGCCGATACGATGGACCTGCTCAAGACCTCACTCCTTTCGGGAATTACTTTTGGATTTAAATCATCTAATTTGAGTGCTTCTTTCCGTCTAATCACACTACTCAGCATACTCAAAGACGCATTACGATTTAAAAATAAATAGGGAGGACAAGTGGGGGCAAGGTTGAAGCGAAAAAACAATAAATGTAACAATAAATGGTAATAAGTAATTTTAGCGTATTTTTTTTTAACAGCTTATAGCCAACTAAGTGAAGTAATTGTAATTCTAGTTCAAACTGAACCATTTTTGTCTGCGTTTTTTTTTGTCGTGGATTCATAGATTAAGCCAGACACACACACACACACACTCAAACACACAAACACGAACCACACACATACAACCACAAAAACACAGTAAACGAAAAGCAAATGTATAAATATCGAGGATACTTACACTGTAATTATAGGGGGGCGAATAAGAAGGAATACCATACCAAAACGTAAGCATATTACAAGGAAATTGCCATTAGTCGATAGTGTTAAAGCGATACGTATATGATCTACATGCTAGGCTAACGGAAAACAAAAACTTAAGAAGGAAGATGAATACTTAGTGTAGCTCAAGATGGAATCTCTCGTATCTCGTAACTCGTAACTCGTAACTCCAACTAAAAGCAATTGTAAAATATCGTAACAGATCTAGGGGCGATCGAACAAACAAACAAAAAGCAAAAAGCAAAATGCAAAAAGCGAATGCAAATGCAGAAAAGCAAACGAACAAAAAGCAAGACTTTATTTTTCAAAGTGTTTGCCGCAATATATTAACTCGAACAATTCGAATTGTACTAGCTGAATGTAGAGGTTAAGAAGGACATTTCATAGACGCAATCCTAGAAGCAATAAGCACAGCCGGAAACGGAAATGAAAATTGAAACGGAAACGGATGCAGAAGCGAAAGCAGAAGCAGAAGCAGGCAGAGCTAACGGTAACATCGATGACTTTTCACCACGTTTCACCAACTCCGGTACAGTTCTGTCCACTTTTTACCACACAGCACAGCACTTCCCTCCTCTCTCACTCTCTTTTATCCTGTCTCTTTCCCTTTAAATATCTCCTCAAGCTTGTTTCACACTTAATAGCCTGTTTCCACTTTCCAGTAACATTCATGGTGTGAACGGGCCATACATTATATCAGTGGAAACAGGCTACTTATCTCTTTTATCCCATTTTGAGCAAACTAAATCTGTAAGAACATTGGAAAAATTCTGTTGGTAAAGAATCTCATTTAATGTTTGTGTTTGTTTGTTCATTTGTTTGATTGTTTTTTCGCTTGTTTGTTTGTTTGTTCCCGGTCTGAATTTGGTTTCTGCCATATTGTTTGTGTATAATTATTATGTATTCTTTGGTGGCTAAGTTAAGGTCTTAGTTCTGTAACTCCTACCGTACTTTCTCACTCATTTGTTCTTTCGTGCAATAAAAACGAGACTTGTATACATATCATTGTTTATTTGGTTTTATTTTGGGGTTGCCTTGCAGATGATGCTCCACCCACCTGTTTATCTGTTTTTCTGTTTTCTGTTTTCTGTTTTCCTCTCCCTTTCCTTACCTTTATCTGTATCTTTCTCAGCACCCGCACAAATATCGAAAAATAAATGAAATAACGAAGAAGAAAGTCAATTTCTCACGGCTCAAAGAACGCAATAATAAACGAACGAACCAAGAAATCGAATGAACTAAAAGCAACAATTAGTGAAGCATATTGGTGAAATACTCGTAACTTATATTTTAAATCGAATTAGTGAGTGATTAGCGCAACGGTAACGATAAAAATACAATTTAGTTGAATTCCCTAGCAGAATCGAATCGAATCGAATAGTGAGAACTTTTTATTAGGAAGCAAAAGCGAAAGCGAATGCGTTTTTTAATTGTATACTAATCGAATCAAAATTGTAAAGAACAAATAAACAAATATTGCATACAAATTGAAACTGCCAATTCACATTCTCAGACAAATTTTTACGAAGCTAAAGCTAAAACCAAAATCTAAGAACACCCAATTAATAGCACTAAGCGAAAATATACAAAATTGCTGAATATTACCGAAAGGCGAAACAAAATCGAAAAATCGAAAAATCGAAAATCGAACTCGTATCTAGATCATTTAACTAGGCCCACGACTTTGACCCTCCTTCGTTTCGTTTTTCCCGATTTTCTATTTCCGATAGCCAATATATCCGATAGTCGATAATTGATAATCAAAGATCGATGACACTTATCGGATTGCGGTTCAGGCTTACTTTAGGCACTTAGCGTATATATCAATTTGTGTGTGTGTGAACAAATAGCAGACAATAATTAGTGAAGGGAACTTTTTAGGCGAGATCGAAGGTCCAGGACTGCAGTGTCGAGGGAAAAACAGTCTCCCAGGACCAAAGGGGCGTGGCGGGGGATTTTCACAAGCAGCTAATTTATCGTCTTCCAACATAGCGTAAATGTTTCACCACTTTAGTCTTAATACTTTGTTTCCCCAAATTAGGAATCAGGAATCGTACGTTGCAGCTAAATGTGATTAAATCTTCATTTTTTTCTAGTTTCCTTTTTCCAGTTTTTTTTTTAAACTAATTAATTAATTATATTCAAAACTAATGCCATGCCCCCGGGATCTCATAGGCTTGAAAATGATAGAAAGGGATTTATTTCATTGGTGGCCCAGAGTTCAGCAGCAAAATTAGCGAGCAGCATTTGATGGAGTGTATAGGAAAACTGCCTTAAAGTGATTTTCAAGTGAGACCGATCGATCAACCAGCAAATTGTGTATATATTATATAGATGCTGAGTCGGTGAGCATTTTTTTTACTAAAGACAACCTACGAGTAAGCCTAACTTTTAACACAGAAACACCCCAAACACACGACCTGTACATAGTCGACATACATACAAGCGCCCTGCATATATATATTATATATATATATATATATATATATTTAAATATATATATATACAAGCATATACCTATATAAAGTGTTTTATAACGAAGTGGATTAGTTGGTAACTGTAGAGCGAGACATCTTTAGCAAAATTACACCTAAGTTTTCCAGATTCAGATGACTTTTTAACCAGACAAAAGCGAAAGCAAAAGGCAAAAAGCAGCAGGCTGGCAGGTAGACAAATTATGAAATTATGAAATTATAAAAATTATGAAATTATTAAATTATGTAGAAAAGCAGTCAGATTAAGAAACTATTTGTATTTCAACTTGTTTTCCAGGAGATCCTAAGTTTAGTCAACGTAATGTAATGTAAATGATAAAACGAAACAAACGTATGTAAAATAATTGCATAAATAATTTCAAATATATTCGCCGATTGCCTTCAACTAGAGGAATTTTGATTACACTTAATAACGAATAACGAATAACGAATACTAAATAATTAATAATAATACAAATAATTGAATAATGCATTGAATATTTATACAAGACAAAACATAAAAAACAACTATAAATATACGGAGAAGTGGTTAGAGCAGAGGAGAGCAAGCAGATGATGAGAAAAAAGCAGAATAGCAGACGCAGACAGACGCAGAGAGAACAACAAATCTACACAAAAATGAAATTCAAAAAGAACTGAAGTAAAAACAAAGATTTTAAAGCAGTAACAAATGGCAAACAAAAGAGAACAAAACAAACGAAAAATAAGAGAAATCAAGATAAAGCATTCATATTTGTACACTAAAGATCCGTTAAGGAGTACGCAACTTATACACGCATTATTAGACTAAACCGACTTCGATAACCGATTAACGATAAACGATAGATTCTCCCAGCCCCCTCAGCACCGAAGAAGAGGGCCCCCCCAAATAAACAAAGCCCCCATCTTCAGCTGCTTTTTTTTTTGTTAACTAGAGACACTCGCACATATCCAATGAAAGACGTCGATTACTTTTCATCCCCATTCCTATCGAATGACCACCACCCCTAGATACGCACACCCCAAGAATCGAGAGGCGAAATCGATATCGAAATCGATGGCTAAGTCGAGATCACAACCACAATTATGATAACAATTACAATGGCCACCACAACCACAGATGCACAACCACTGGAGCGAAGGAGATGCGAAATTAGGAAGGCAGATGATATAGGAGCTGAACGAAGTAGATCGAATCTAGTGAATACTTTTAGGCGTTAAGCGTACTTCTAGTTTGTATCTCTTATATACACACACACACACAGATATATCTAGGTATATGGATATAGCATAATTATACAGATATACAGACCTATCGATAACTCAAATACCGCATACAACTAGCCAGTGGAACGAGGTCGAGAGTAAATCGATTCGTGTCGATAGAGGAGTAGTAGATCCAATCTTTTTTTTTTTGTACTTGTACTTGTATGGTAAATGCTAACGGTAAAGGTAATGGTAAATGGTAAATGGTAAATGGTAAATGGTAATAGGTAACGGTAAACGGTAACGGTAATGGACATTTAACTAGTTATAACGTGCAGTTATCGTAATTTATGATTATCGATTATTGAGTCTTGAGTACGATTATTACGGAACGTTTAATTTTGTTAATACGAAAACAAAACGCGAGCATGGTTAATAAAGCTTTAATTTGAAGCTATATAGGTATATATATACGCCCATATATATATATACCCCAAACACACACACACACACACACACACACACTAACACTCAACACACACTCTCTCACACACACACATAAAGATACTGACAAGGAAACGTCCTCAGTTTATAAATTTTCAAATGAGTGACATGGAAAACTTGAAACGAAACGAAAACGAAACGAAAACACGTAGGCAGTACGGATTAGGTCTTAAGGCCCCCATATAAGTAATATACAATTAAAATTATTTATCGAATCAATTTATTATTGATGGCAAATGGAAACGATAGCGATAGCGATGACGATAACGTTAGCGATAGAGCGAGAATGAAGAAGAAGAGCCAGGCAGGATAGATCGGCGCCGCTGGCATATACGTTCATATATCCCCGATATCCGTCGATATATGCCCGATATATGCCCACGTGCCCCGATCGCCATACATATACACACACATATACTTACTATATGCATAATACCAGTGACGAGAATTTTTAGTCTATACTAATCGAATCGATCCGATCGGAGGAGGAAGTGAGGAGGCAAAACAAATCTATATACAATACATGGCATACACTTATATGAAGCCCCTATATTGAGGATATAAACGTGAATTTTTAGCAGACTAAGTAATAAATTATACACTCACAGGCGGACATAATCGAACTACACACACACACACACACACACAGACACAGACGAAACACACACACACACAAACACAAGGGCGGTATGCAGATATATATATATACACGAAAATATATATATTATATACGTCAGCAATACGAATAACATTAATAATAATACTATGCAATAAAGCGAGGAGGAGTGAGTACTAAGCGGAAACGGAAGTGGAGGCGAGAACACCTAACATTTAAGACACTGAACAAAAAATCAACTTGTAAATAACACACACACACACGCACACACCACTACATTACAGACAAATACACACACACACACATGCAGACACAGACAGATCGCAGACAGTCACATCAGTATACATACACCCACTCACACACAGCCACACAAACACACACACACACACACATTTTACGATTAGTTAATTTTACAAACTAAAATTATTGCAGCAGGCGCATTACATAAAATGAAATACAACTAAAAAAAAGGCAGAAGAGAAACGAAAAATAAAACCAAAATCATATGCATTAAAAGTAAAGTAAAGGCAAAGACAAACAAAGGCAGAGGCCAAGGCAAAAGCAAATGAAAAAGCAAAAGCAAAGCGAATGAGCCCAGTGGGGAAATAGGGGGCGGGGGCAACTCTCCCCCCACGAGCCACACCCCCCGCCCCCAGATAGACCCAAGAAAAACGAAAGAGAAAACATAAGGCCAGGGACGTTGATGGGAATTAATAAATTACCAAGTAATATTATAAAATATTATTATATAAATTATTATAATTATAAATTATTATTAAAGAAAGCAAGCAACAAACGTAAAAACGAAAAACAAACAAGATTAAAAATACAAAACGAAAAAAACAAAAAAAAACACAAAAAAAAAAAAACAAACAAAACCAAACATAAACCAAAAACACATTATTATAATGCGATAATTGAGTAATCAACAAAACGAATTGACAACGTTGTATGATTTTGATCAGAAAGTAATAAAAACAATTTTCGATTTGTTACGAAATATACATAAATATCCAGTGGCTTTTATTTCGCTGGAGGGGCACTTCTTGCAGGACTTTTATTTTTTCCTTTTTTATAATTTTGAATTTACATTTTCTTTTCACTTTTCGGTTCAGCTTAGTTTCCTTCCAAGCCGACAGGAGGTGCGTTATGTAAAATAACATGTAGATATTAATGATCGTGTAGGATAAATATTCCAGATGAGTTTATCAGGTCTGTCCACCAGACGCTAGGAGGCGTCCTGTTAGCAACGGAAGTTTCCCGAAACCGAATGTAAAACTTGCTAAATGTAAATAAGGCTAAAAATGGTTGAAAACCTAGCTGCTGGTTATAAAGTTCAACTTTCGACTTTTTGTTACTTAAGGAATATTTAATTTATTGTTGTGTGAAGTACATGTGTTTCTTAGTTTTTGAAGTGCAATAAGCTTTCATATACTTCTGGCCGAAAGCTTTAGCAGTTGGCGGTTCATTCTTTAGGCAAATATATGATAAATAATAAAAAATAATAATAAATAAAGCAGGTAACCTGATTACTAGGTAAACCTTTCTTTTCAGCTTAATAAATATAAAAATTTATGGATTTTTGTTTGATAAAAATTTGCAGTTTTAGTAATTTAATCAAAGAATTTAAAACATACCATATATTACAACTTAAATATGAAAGGATGATAGATAAGGAAAATATTATTATTAGCCATATAATGCAGACTTTGTATGAACTTAGTAAGACATCCAAGTTAACCTACATTACTACTTGTTGTTATAATGAAAACCTTATGAACAGATGCATCAGCTTCTCTAACATTTTTTTAATCCAACATTAATTTTAAATAATATGTAATGAAGTTTCAGCTTATACATAATGCAGGAAGACACTATATATATATACGACTATATCTAAATATTACATCCACACGGCTGTGAAGTCACTTTCCTTATAGCTTTCCTTAGCCTATAATATATTCAATTACGGCGATTTTCTTGCAATTTTCTCAATAAGAGCAAAACTAATGCTCTCTTTCAATCATTTTGAGTTTTTGAGATCAAGTTAAATGATGTTTTTTATGACCAATATTAATGGATTTTAAGTTTTATGGCATTTGATAGAGATTTTATTATTAATTTATCTTTTATTAAGCTCGAAGCTCTAAAAATGGTTTTCGCTTTTGTGGAATGCTAAAAACTCTAGAAAGTTGGAATTAGGCATTTAGTATCTAGTGATGCCCCCAATGCGTAATATTTACCCACTCTAACGCCGTGGAAAACTGCGGCGTCCTTCATTAGTTTCTAAAAGTAAAATGAATATTTTAAAATTGGATTGAACAGTAACAGGTACCTTATAGCCGCGGCACTCAACTATAGCTTTTCTTCTTGTTATTAATATTAAATTGATGCTAAAATATCGACTAAGATGTTGATATCAAAATTACACCTCTGCTGCGTTAACCCTTTAATAATGATATATCGATATATCGCCGCACTAATACATCCTAATTCAAGTCGACGAAAAAACTAACGTGAGCTTGACATTTCTCAGAAAGTTGCAGTTTCACTTTATATTTGGCATTCATCCTTGTAAGACCTAAAAAATATTTCGGGATGAATAATCAGTGTGAAAATATTGATTCGGGATCTCCAGTGGCCAAGGGTGCCACGAATGACTTATTTGTTACCGCTCCTTCTAGTGACCACGCGGTAGAAAGTTCATCAAACGAACGCATTAGCCCTGGAGGATCTGGTGATCAGGCTGAACACCCTAAGCCTGGTATGCCTGAGTCGAAAGATACCAATGGACGTAAGTCTACAGTTGTTGTTCCTTAATTTAATGATACTAAAGATGTACCGAATCCAAAGATGTACCGAAGAGCGAAGCTTCTAACGATGGCGAGTCAACCGTTGTGGTGCCAAAAGATGATTCTAATGGTGGTGAATCCAAAGATGTCGTACCGAAGAGTGAAGCTTCTAATGGGCCTACAGTTGTGGTGCCTAAGGATGAGGAGTCTAACGTTGGTAAAACCAAAGATGTTGTACCGAAGAGTGAAGCTTCTAACGATGGTGAGTCTACAGTTGTTGTGTTTGAAGGTGACGAATCTAACGATGGTGATTCTAAAGATGTTCCTAAGACTGCTGATCCTAAGACTAGTGGATCGGAAGGTAGAGACCCCGAAGCAGGGAAACCTACTGCCCAGCCAAGGAACGAGAATAGAGCTCGCCGCAGACCACTATCCGAAGATGGAAATAACAATCCGTACTTCCAACCTCCTCCAGCAAAGAGGGCCCGTCGTGATCTCCCACCGAGAGCTATCGAACAGCTTTTGAAGAGCCTAGCAGAAGATACTCCTAAGAAAGAAGAGGCTGCCCAAGGGGAAACCGATGTAAATCTCGGTGCTGAAGTTGACAATAAGGAGAATGCTCCTCCGATTGAAGTCGAGCAACGCGTCGTTGCGGATCAGAAGAGTGATTAACGCGAACCCTAAAAACCCGATTAAGGGGTTCGAAACCAACTATGACATCTCAGAATATTAAATTCAATTTATATTTAATACAAAATAGTTGGTTCCGAATAATTCAGAAGACACACAAAATAAACATAAAATATACACATATTATGAACATGCAGCGAGGAAATGAAACTGCGATGGAGAAGGAGAGCGATCAAGCCTTTTTTTCTTTTAATTTATATCGGAATGAAATAAAATAAAAATATACAAAATTCTGTACATAAAATCTTTCAATTTTTAAGCATTTAAAACAATATTTTAAAAAATGATTGACACGTTTCGCATTCTACAAACCATTAAGCATGTATTTTGCGAGATATCAAGGAATAAACTTCCAACTCATGGGTGTACGAATAAATTATGTGCCGACGGTATATTCTTGGGATGTCAGCGCAGCTCAAGTCTATAACATTATCTGGCCACGCGTACTCTTACACCTTTCCCTCTGCACCCAGCAACAGCGAAAAAGGGTAGCCGAATTCTCTAAGAACCCTAAAATATCAGTAACTATAAAAGGCAGATTAGGCATGGTGTTTCTTATGGTACCCCCCATTATGGTAATAACTAAACTATAAGAGCTAGAAAGTTATAATTTATTTTTCGTTTGACGTTGTATGACATTTTTTTTGTCAATATCTATCGATATACCAAAAATGATTTAATCGAACCCTTTTTTTGCGATTTATTAAGAAATGTAAGTTTAAAGGCGTCACATGGGCAGTGGCATCCCTTTTCCTTTCTTTTTTTTAAAAAGTGGTAATAAATAATGTTTTTCAGATATCAATTGGCAATTTCATAGCAAGCTTAACGAGACTTTAACTTTTAACCTTAACCTTTGTACAAAATAAAACTAAAAGTTATGGGGGAAAAAACCTTTCAGGATTTGTTACCAATCAATGTCCAATTTTATTATAAACTTAAGGACAAGGAATTCCAAATTTGGAGAATTTTTTCGAATGTTTTAATAAAATTTCCTATAAACCTTGGCTTAAAATCAGGTCTAAAATCGAAATAATAAATAAGCGATTTTATTCAACTTCTATCTGGGAATATCATGGCAAACGAGCTACCTGTCACTGCATATAAACCTCTTCTATCGCTTTCCGCTGATCTCAGGTGAAATTTGCAGACTTGTCGATGGAAATCGACATCCGGCCTTTGGATGCAGCACTCCGTACTGCCAATGTTGGGCAACTAAGCCCTTCGATAGCCATCTGAACTCCGTTCACGGATGTTTTTAATAAACGCCGAGGGCTAATCCCTGACCCTTATGGTTTCAGTTTCAGTTTCAGTTTGAGTTTTGGGTTTCGGTTTCGGGAGCGATCTGGCAGGACGATAAAGGACTTGCATGCGACATAATTACCGCTGATTGAATTGGGCCCGTCACAAAGGTGATGAATGGCATATCGTAGATGTCAGATAAGCGCACCTCTCGCCTGTTTTCTTATTTCCCATTTCCCCTTCCCCCGATTTTTCTTGTTTTCTTTTTTTTATATTTTGCTTAGCGGAAATGCGCACTCGCAAAAAAGTGCAGAGTCCTGGGCCTTTTGTTGACTCTCTCGCTTGTTTGCCAGCCTGTTTATTTGCCTGTTTGGCTGTCAAATCACTGGGGGGAACCGAAAAAATTGCCACTACAGTGGGGCTCCGCTATTGGAGGTGCCTTTCCCTTGGTGGGAGATCCTGTCGAGCTCCACTGTTGCCACTCCTCCATGGCTGGCGTTCATTAGTTTATCCGCCAGCACCGTGTTTGCTCACCTCTTTCGTATAAAACTGTCCAAATGAGGTCCTCGAACATTGGCAGCACTCAAATGCCAAAAAGGATCAACGTGAAAACTAACATTCGACGGCGATTTAATGGGAAATTGTTACATTTTAAGTTTTGCGATTGCAATTCAGTGGGCAAGGTGACGTAAAACTCTTTATTACTTAGGATCGAATCAGTTGATTGGATTTCGAAGTCAAAGAATTACATTAAAATGGTAAGAAACGTGAAGAATTGATAAAGTCGCCACTCTTTTATTTAATTTTTAAATACCATAGCTATATAAAGGCTTAAAAATGACATTTTTAAATTAATTATGAAATAGTTCTCGAATTTTGAATCTTCTTTTGGTACATTGTCATGAATTGGTACTTAAAGGAACTTAATATTATGGCTGTCACAGTTTTCGTGGTTTGGTGAAGCAAACTTAGGCTGCTAGAAAATCTCTAGAATTGGCACGATTTGTACTTACATTCTAGCTCTCATAGTTCTAGAGATCTCAGCGCTTATAGGGACAGACTGGCCCTGGACAGATGGAGGTGGGTGATCAACTCGGCTATTTATCTTAATTAAGAATATATTTACATTATTTATATGATCAGAAATGCTCTCTTCTTTTTGTTATTTACCTTTTAAATAATTTTATTACCTTTTTTGCCGTACATAAAAGATAATTTTTAATCCTTAAACTTTTAAAGATTTTGAAATAAACAAAAGCTGGCTAGTAGAAAGAGTTACTTTAGAAACCCAAAAACTTGTTTAAATAAAAGATTACACTAAAAATGATGACAACTTTCTTTATGTTACTTAACTTCTAACTCCAAGATATATTTTAATAGAGTTTAAATAAATTTGTTTACTTAAAAAATCCCCTCAAAAGCTAATTTACAGAGTTTTTTCAAAGTACATAGATAAATATAAATAATTTTAAATTTTAAAGGGAATTAAGATAAACGAAAACTGCAAATGTTATACCCAAATCAAGTGAAGAGAATATATCTCCGGGTTAACCATCACTGGGGGACCATATCTCATCCGTTTTGGGGCGGATTGAAAGAGCTCGGCTCGGAATCGGATTGCAGTTCCAGCTCTAAGAGCGAGGCAGCTCTTCCGTTTGTGCCCGGGGCTAAATGGGATTTTATTTGGGCAACGCTGCATAATAGATGATATGATATAATATGATTTGCCTACACAAAACGAAAATCAAGCTACGGCCGCTCGACAATCAACTTGTCCATAATACATGAGATTTTGGGGGGCGTGTGGGACGGCCGGTGTCGGCAATCAGTCAAATGTAATAATAAATAAATAAATAAATCAGGAGCAGGCACATAAACAACGCCACTCGCTGTTAATGGCAACATGGCAAATGGAGCAGTCGGGATTAGAAATCACAAATGGAAAATCACAAATAAAAATGCCAGGCTCGACATTGTATTTCTCGTCATTTCCCCATTTCCATTCCAAGGGTCTGGCTGACAACTCTTTTTAGGGATTGCAAATGCCAAATTAATATTTATCGCGAGCCACGAACGAGCCGCGGGAAGCTGTCAAAAAGGGGATTACTATTAAAAACAATATTTACAAATCGCTGCGAAAATGAATAAATAAGCTTAATATATAGAACTTTGTTTCGTTATCCTTAAAAGAAATCAAGCTAAGAAGCTAAATGCAGAATACTTATAAATATTTCTTTATCCTTGAAAGATCCAAAAGTTAAGTACTTGAAATTAGCTCCCACTTTTCCAGAAGTCAGAGGTCAGTAAACAGATTTAAATAATAAGAACTTTTGGGCTTTGAAAGGCACAAAAAAAAACCCTATAAAAAGTATATTAAAACTAAACTAAGAACACACTTCAATATCTTGATGCCCCTAGAAAAGGTGTTCCAGAAATCAAACCCTCAGAAAAGGTGACTTTTGCCCAGGGGCTCGAAGGTCCTGGGGCCATTAGCAAAATCAACAGCCACACTCAGCCAGCCATTCACTCGTGCACCCATTCACCATCTAGCATTCAGCATTCAGCATTCAGCCGGTGAATAAGGACACTCGCAGTTGCATTCACACTCTCGCCCGGAGAAAAGGACATTTTGTCCCACTTACACTCACTCGCTTAGAGGGCAGCGCCCCCTTTCTCTTTCGCTCCGCGTGAGCCCGTCTCCTTCTGCAGGACTCGCCGCTGCGGCGCCGTCGATGTGGAAAATGTTACGCTACAATTTAATTGAAAGGATAATCAGGCGCACAGCGGACGAGCGTTATGTGAGGAGCGCACTCATTCAAAAAATAAAAAAATAAAACCGATGCTAGAGTGAGCGACTGAGCGAGATGGGGCGAGCGGCATTAGAAAGAGAGAGCACGATTGGCACGGACAAAAGGCAGCGCTAAAAGCTGCAAATGAATGAATGAGGCGAATAGAAATAAAATAGCAAACGGTGGCAGCACAACATCGGCTTTTGTTGTACCCGTCAAGTGTCCTTTTTGATGATGACGACACACACAGCAAGGCGACGACTCGGAGGACGAACAAGGGCACTGAGAGAAATGGAGGTCAGATATGTTTTTTATGGGGTTAGTTTCAGATAAGTGTAACAAGGTAAACCCATTGGCTTTATGAATAACGCACTTCTAGTCCTGTGTAGTACTTCATAATGAGAGATCAGATCAGATGGTAGATATAGATAGATGGATATAGATCGCAGTCCTAATAGGATAGGATAAATGTATATTTCATATGATTTTGAAAGTATTTAATAAGTAAAGTATAAATAAATGTAAGCCTAAGCTAAAATGACTGCTTTTTAGTTTAAGTTTGCTTACTTTTTTAGCTCTCATTTAATCCGATTAAGTTCATATTTTCCATATAAAACATAATAAACAAAATCTCATTCACAGCTCCCTCACAGCTCGTGATTTTTCACTTCCACAAAGTAAATGCGAGGTCGCCCACCTTTTCGCTCAGTGCAGCTTCGGGGTGGCTTCTGGTAGACCTCGCTTGTGGCCGGGTACGTGAGCCCACAACGTGGCCGGCTTTGCTTCCTGCCCGAGCCGCCCGATCCTCGCCAGAGCCGGCAACCAGTGTCCTGTGGCGCGGAAGGTCCTGCGAAGGGTTGTCAACTGCGAGTGGGAAACACGAAAATACAAAATACAAAATACAAAATACAGAATACAGAATAAAATGGGGCGGTGGCCGAGGGGCCGAGGGGCGGCGATTGGCAAATGAAACTCGAATGAAATAAAATTAAATGCGTTGCACAAGTTGCAAATGCGAGCGAGCAACAATCAAAAGGATTCACGCTGCGTGTCCTGTTCCTGTTTCTGTTCCTCGCTGTGAAAAATGTAATTTTAATCGAATTCACTCACCCCTTCAGCACATCCTCACCTCCCAGTGCCTTTCCCCTCTCGCCCTTTTATAGTTTTCCTTTGCCATCCAAGTGCTAACCGTATTAGAGCAACTAAGTCCCGATCCTTCCCTGATTTGTGTTGTGCCAACAACAGTTGCCGAGTTAACTCACTTTTTCGAGTTGACGCAGCGGGCGCCGCCGGAGGCCAAAGGCATTCTTCCGCGAGAAATGCAATTAACTTGGCCAACGGCAACTAACCCCTTGATTTTAAAGAGGCATGCCGGCCAGGGTCAGGGGTCAGAGGCAGGGGCGGTGCCTGCCAGCATCCCCCCTACAATTAAAACAAAGGCCAGGAGTCGCTAATTAACATTGTTAGCATTAGCGCAGCTCGGAAAAACAAACGAAAAACTGAGGCCAGAGTGCCCCAAAGATCGGGTGGCTGTGGGCAAACTTTGACCTTTTCGGTGGTAAATCCCAAAGCCCAAGTCGAACCAACGATTCCCTGCCGGAAATTGGCTTTTTAAGTTCTTTTTGCCACTTTTTGGTTACTTAAATGTTTATTTTTAGCTTCTTTAAATAACCAAATTGAAGATTAAGATTTTGTATGAAAAGATGTTTGAGTTTCCAAATTTAAAATTTGAGTATAAACTTGACATCGAACTCAGAAGAGATGCCTAGGCTTACCAAGAGTTGGATTAGAAATTAAATTAAATTGTCAAATGATTTAAATTTTCTCAGCATTTTTCTTGGAATAATATTTTAAGGGATCTTAAAAATAACTTAGAGAAGAAGTAGTCATCAGAAGTAGTATTAGTAGTCAGTAGTTTTTGAAAAATTCTTGATTTTTTTCGTTAAACTTTTTATATTTCCCTTGATTAGAATAATATACTAAAAAAATTTGTTTTCTTTACCATATTTAAGCAATATTTCTGTATTTCTTTTTTTTGAAAACCACATATAACATATAATTCCAACTTTTTCTTTTAGAAATACATAATATATGCGATTGCAGAGTTTTCGTTGCGTCCATTAAGCCCTGAATTTTGATCCTATTTGCCCACCTATTGCCCCCTTTTCTGTGAAACTTTTTTCTGTGGCATCATCAGCGACATATGTAAAATTAAATATTGTTTATTGTCAGAGCTAACCCGACCTTTGGCCCCGTATTAATCAACCTCCTGTGTACCCAGCCCCCCTCCATCCCGACCAGTCACTTGTTTATTTATCGACTTGCCAACCGTTTTGGACTCGAATTTCCCCCTTTTTTTTTTTAGGTTTTTTGATATTTTTCGTTCGTGTGGCAGTTGCTTGTTAAACAAAAACGGCGAAAAAAAAGGGGGCAACATTTATAGCTAATTTTCTTGTCATTGTTTTGACTTTTACACCTTCGCTGCCGCGTGTTTACCTGTGAATTCGGTGGCCAGAGGAGGAATTGGGGCTTCGGAGTGCTCGAGTGGCGTCGTCGCATTGTTTGGCCATGTAAAATAATATTGTATTTGGGCTGTTTGCCTGCGCAACTTGGCTAATGAAGGGGGTGGATTGGGCGGATTGGGTGGATTGGTGGATCGGAGTCCATAGAGTCCTCGCAGAAGAAGGGTTTGAATGCCTGCGAAGCCCCACAAAAATGTGTGAGCATGCGGAACTGCGTGTATATATCATATGGCAGGAATTTCAGTTAATCTCAAGAATGCTTTTGGGTTGAAACTTTAAAGGTTGCAAGCTGCATAATATCTGAGAAATAATCACAAAAAGTCCCTGAAACTTAGGCATAGCACTTCTACTCGATCAGTAGGCCTCGAACATCCATTCGTTTAATTTTTGTACACCTTTCGATCGAGAAGCTCAGTTTTCATTGTTCGTTTGACTTGACAAGCACACTATTTATCTCGGTCTCTTACAGATTTTGTGACTATTTCTAATTTAATACTTGTGTTTGTTTTGTTAAGTGGTGCAAAATTGGCAGACCAAAATGTTGAAGCGCCTACGCAATCAACTTAGGAAGGCGGCTCTCAGCTTCGTGGCCAGTAAGTATACTATCATTAGGGTCGAGGAAAGACTAGCTGTTACTTAACTTAAACTTTCTGTTTTACCCCAAGGCCGAGGACGCGAAAACCTATTTTACCCTGCGTCCTGGTTAAAGGAAGGCCGGGAGGAGGCCATCCAGCTCCAAGCGGAACTTCATCGGCAGACGCGAGACCGTCTGGCGGAACGGAATCGTGAGCCATGGTTCGAGGTCTATAAGCGGCACAGTGGCCGGCAGCTGATCAGCAGCAATCGGCGGAGATCGCCACGCGAACGAGTGCAGCCGCTGCAGAAGAACACAGCATCAGTTCCCTCTTCTAGCCCTCCCATCTCACCGGCGCCCGTTGCCTCGCCCATCGAACAGTGGCGCCAGCAGCAACATCTTTATCAGCAGCGCCAGCAAAAGCAGGAGCTGCCCAAGGTTAGCCAACATCAAACGCAAAAACCAACAGCGCCGGCCACCGAAAAGCGCACTGCCAATCAGACCTTGGTCATGCACCCGCTGCAGAGGGCAAGGGTCATCTCGGCGCTGACCAAAAGGGAACAGCATCGCTACCGACAGCGCAGGCTGCTCTTGGACGAGCTTGACGTCTAGTGGTTCTACTCAGCCCAAAACTACCTGCTAGGCACCACCCACTAAAAGACACTCCAAATTATTAGAGGGATGTGAAAACCAAATTCATCGAGTGACTAGCAAAGAATCACAGCAATTGCAAGATTATCTTTGGGAAATGACGTTAGGGGATCATTCCCCTCCCTACGGATTTCAAGACTATATGTTCCATCAGAGGTTGGCCAACTAGAGCAAATTTCTTGGCTTTAAGATGCTTACTGACTGTTAACTTACTGACTGACTTCATTCGGAATATGTCTTTATGTCAACTGAATGTAAAACGAGTCACGCACAAAAATATATATAGAAATCGATAGCTCGTAAAAATCAGCATTGGATTTATACTAGTTCTGTAATGTAAAACGAGAGCGTTAAGCGTTGTAGTTAAGGAAGATGCTCATTACTCTGTTAACGTGCCCCATCTGTTGGCGAGTGCCTGAACTAATGCATATTTAAATACGACCATGTAAGGCCGCCTTATGACCTTAACTCAGTAATAACTAGTAAAATCTTCAATATTTCGAAAGGCATTCATCTACTTGATTGATATCTATATATAGATATATATAATAGAATAATATTGATCCCCTTTCCGTATACTAAAATAGCCTAAGTTCATGGTGTTGTGCAACAAATAAGGATAAAGATCCCTTCCAGGAGACATATCTCTTGACCATCTTGCAGCCAACTCGAGCATCCTTAGCATTTGCTATTTACATAAACACGAGGAAAGACGAGAAAATGTGACACTTGACAAATTTGTGAAAATCAGACTGGCGCCACTCTCGGCTTTCGAACTGATTTATGGGCAACATTTTGTAGCTGAAAACCGAACAGCAGTTGCATGTCCGAGATCCCGATCTCAAACTGGATTGGGATCAGGCCGAATTAATGCGAAGCACTTTGCAATTGAGTTGTCAAATGCGGGGAAAACAAGTGGCACCTACGGGGAAATAGGAGAGCGGTAATTGAACCCGAAACCGAGACCCAAAATGGGAAATGTAGGACGAGCCAGGACCTAGGACCTAGGACCCAGGAGTGCAAACACTCGAACCCATTTCCAGCTTATTACTCAATCAATATGCTCATTTGTTTTTAACTGGAAGCAGTTGTTGTTGAGGGCCGGGCGTGGGATGTTGCCTGTTTTGACAGCATCCTTGGTGTAATTGGAACTGAAGATCGAGATCCTGGATCCTTAATGCCGGGGTGCTGCTTTTGGCGCGTCCGAAGCGGGCGATCAATTTCCATTTGCAGCTCGATTTCCCGATGATGACTATCTGACCTATTTACTATTTACTATTTACTACCTGATCCATTTACGAGGCCACGACAGCTGTTCAGATTTGGCAACTGTCGTTGGTCCTTTAAAGGCCTTTATCGTTGCGTTTTCTACAACTGTTTCTGTTTCTGCTTTAGTTGGTACACTCAAAGAAAACATACAAAATTTATTGATAATTGTTAAGTCCATTTACTTTGTTTTTTAGGTTTAGAATCTATTATTGTCCTTAACCAAAAACTTAACCCATCAAAAGCAGATTTCAAATGTTCATAACATTAGAAGGTTGAAGTTGATCGCATGTTTAGCTCTTCGTAATGCCAACTTATGGCCATAAAAAATCAATGCAATTAACTACTGAAACTCCTATTAAGTTGAGGGTTAACTAACAGACTAACAATACTGGGCTAATTTCGTAGAGTGTACGGCTGCCTTCTCTATGTTGCTCGAATGCCAGGAGGCAATTAGCCCGGCAGGAGGTACTCGGAATCAGCTGTAGATAAGCAGCCTGCTCCCAAGGCACCACATGCTTGACCACTGGGTGCCCTGGACAAATTGCCTCGGGGTCCGGCGAGTTTTAGCAATGGGCAGTTTGGAATCTGGATGGGCAATAATCACGACTTGACCGCGGAAGTGACCAAAAGGCAGGGGCGCATGCGCGGCGGATTAGCAGAGGCCGGCAAGGGGGGAGTTGTGGGGGGGAGCGCTGAGATCGCATTGTCCAGATCACGGACCGCCTGGAATGAAGCTGTTAGCGACTTTCAGCATCATAATTAAGGTGTCGTAATTGCTGCCCCTGAGACGCAGTATTAGCGCCACGGCACGAAGGCTCTCTTGCCCCTCAAACCCCCCTCGAAACCACTGCCACCACCCAACATATATACAAACATATATACATATATAGGGAGAGAGAAAACCCAACAGCTGCAGAACTCAACCTCAATGCCAACCGCCGACAAAGTTGCCATTGTTGGAAACTTTATCAACATGCAAATAAAAAATTCCGAACTCCATTCAAACGAGAGAGAGACGACGCATCGTGCTGCGAAAGAGACGGCAGGAGATTAGGCAACGGACACCAAGTGGCCGGAAACCCATCGGATAAATGACACAAGAACTCCAAGTGGAGCACTCTATCAAAAAATGGAAAATTCAGCGACAATAGGAAAGAGCTGAGCGGGAAAACCCATCTCGAATGGCTTTAAAAACAGAAAAACTGAACTAAAGCAAAGATGTTTTTATACCCGTTACTCGTAGAGTAAAAGGGTATACTAGATTCGTTGAAAAGTATGTAACAGATAGAAGGAAGCTTTTGCGACCCTATAAAGTATATATATTCTTGATCAGGATCAATAGCGAAGTCGATTGAGCCATGTCCGTCTGTCCGTCCGTCCGTCCGTCCGTCCGTCCGTCCGTCCGTCCGTCCGTCCGTCCGTCCGTCCGTATGAACGCTGAGATCTCAGAAACTATAGCATATACAAAGTTGAGATTAAGCATGAAGATTCTTGAGGTCCCGGGACAGCGCAAGTTTATTACAGCATCCCGCCACGCCCACTCTAACGCCCACAAATCGACAAAAACTAAAATTGCTGAAATCTCAGGAACTATTGCAGTTAGAAAGTTGAAATTCAAAAAGTATAATGTTTAAATGGCAGCGCATCTTATAGTGGTACTACTATCCGGCCACACCCACCCATACGCCCACAAGGCTCAAAAGACAGTTTTCGGATTTTCTAGAAAAGCTGATATCTCGGTAATTATAAGAGATAGAAAGTTCGGATTAAGCATGTAGGTTTCTATTATGCTCCCAATGCGAATTGTTTTTTTTCGATCAAGCCACGCCCACTCTAACGCCCACAAAACCTGAACAACCAAAAATGCAAAAATCTCAAAAACTATAAGAGCTACATAATTTTGTTTAAGATCACGTATTTAGGAGATGCCTTTGCAACTTTCCACGAAGTTGCATCCGGCCACGCCTACTCTGACGCCCACAAACCGCGGAAAACTGTGGCGTCTATAATATTATTATGAATGCCTTCGTTTGACCTTGTGTAACTTATTTCTGTTAATACCTATCGATTTAACAAAGATTTTTCAAATCGGAACATTATTTCGCTATTTATAAAGAAATTAAGTTATAAGGCCTCACATGGGCAGTGACGTCACTATAAGCATACTCAACATACTTCCTCTGACAATAGGTGGCGCCTTGTAAATTTCCACTAGCAAAATAATATTTTAAAATTTTGTAAAACAGTAACGGGTATCTTATGGTCGCGGCACTCGACTATAGCGTTTCCTCTTGTTTCTGTTTAAAAAAGAGAAATACTTTTTGAATGTCTTGATAGATGATATATGATATATTTATCAGATTTACTAAATAACATTTTAAACTTTCTATATTAGACATCTTTTATCTTTTCCGTTTCTCTGGCTATTTTGCATAGCTTTCCCTAAGATGGTCTCCCGCTTCCTGGGAAACTGCCTCTTCCAGTTCAGTTCACTCTCGGTTCCAGTTCCAGTTTATGTTCTCCCCATTCTGCATTATATCTCTCTATTCCCCCCGACTTTTACATGTCCCATTTGCCACGGGGCAAGGGAATATATATTTTTGTATCGCATCGCACGGCCAATTTGATGACATTATTACGGGAAACTGCACAGAAGAGTCGAGTGGACCGGCGACTAGAAATCGGAGGGGGAGGAAGGACACACAGAGTAGTAGTGTCCTTTTTGCCAGCGTTCTTGGCATGTGTTGCTGAGCATGAAAATTGCAATTTTTCGCCAGATAATCCTGGCATCCAGGAATGGAACCCCAGGAATCGGGAACAATGCTGCAATGTTGCTCGGCAATTGGCAATTGGGTGAGTGGCAATTGATTCGTTGCACCATCAGCGTTGTCCTCCGACTGGATCCTTTTTCTCGTATTTTTTCTCTCGATTTTTTCACTGTCATTTTGTGGGGTCGACCGCAGTCGTTTGGCCACAGCGGGTAGTCGTCTATGCAGTCTCTATATAGACACCATATAGACCATCGATCGCAGCGTATCGAAACGATGGACAAAAACGAAATTCTGCACATTTTCAACGCTTTGCTGTGGTGTGAGGTGTGATCTATTCTACCGGATCGGTGATCATTATTGTCATTATCTGAAGTGCTAAGTGGTCGCGTGTGACCAATTTTCAGCTGGCCATTGCCAAATGGCGGGACTGAATGGCTAGATCAGGAGGCAGTAATCAACCGAGTAAGTTGTCTAGGGAAATGTGTTGTTAAGATTGGTAATTGGCTGAAAAGAGGGATTCTGGATTGGTCTATTCAGATATGATTACAGTAATTAATCAAAATAATGGCAATGACTAGAAGAAAATGCTTGTAAATTTCTTTAATAAATTTTATCGCTTTTTGCATATTACAGCTCTTTGTGGGAAACTAATAAGAGAAGGTGGAGAAGCTTTAAGCAAATTAATTGAAATATATTTTTAAAATGCCCCTCAGTGCCTGCAGCCTGCAGACAAGCAGGAAAACTAACTCGAATTATTCTATTTGACATAAAATTCAGAGAATACCTGCCGTCCAAGTTTGACTTTTGGCTCTCCAAATTGACTTGTCCAGCGGGGCGGACTGAATATTCTGTGTACATTTCCCTCCGCTGCGTTCGGCTTTACATTTGGGCGAGCTAAAAAATAGAGGAGGAAATGAAATGACCGGAAGTTAAATCAAACCAACTTCAAATGTCCGAAAATTGCCGAGAAATTCGAGGCCAGAACTGGCTGGCTGGCTGGCATTCGTCGCATTCCGAACACGTAACAAACTAAGCCAAAATTCAGCTGGAAATACAAATACAAACACGTTGCTGTTGACCTTTTGCGAATAATTCAAATAAAATTTACACCTTTGAGCCAAGCGGGCGGAGGGTAGTGGCCATTGATGGTCTCTGGCCAAGGGACTGCAAGCGGAAATCCTTTTTCAATTTTATTTTATCACAAAATGCACACAGCACACACTGCCCGCCAACTATTTTGGCAAATTTACACTCCAATTTGCTGATTAATTGATATT